ACAAATGTATATGTAAAGTGACATTATTAAATTGAGTGTGTGTATACTGTACATTTAATTTAATAAAAAAATAAAATAAAAAAACTATTTCATTTTAGAATCCTCAATTTTCTAGCTTTTTTGTTATCTTTGTCAAGCTTCCAAAATACAAAAAAAGTGGCCCAAGTGTTCTGAAGTCATGAGACCAGACTGAAATTTAAGTGACTATCACTGAAGATCTTTCCCTCTGCGATTAATCCTTTAATATATTTTGACATTCTATTCGTATCTCTATTTAATAGATGCCTGTTCTCTGTAAGAGAAAGTCCTCACAATGACAGAGATACCACCACAATCTGCAGCATATGTGTCGCCTGAAGGAAGTCAGCTGTGAGCTTCTTTACACAAGTTGCTTGAAGGCAGATCCAAAGCTGATTGTGAATACTCTACCTTCAACACCCCCCAACCTTCCTTGTGTGTGAGTTTTTCAGTTAGAAGTTACTTTCACCTATAAATAATATTGCCATACTCTTCGCTTCGTTTAACACATTTTTACCATGATATCCCTCAACACAGATTCAGTCTGGTCCTGTTTACTGGCATTAGAATAGGCTCCTCATCACCATTAGAACTGTTGCTGTGATGGACAAATTGGATCATTCACACAGACTTTCTCATGTTTTTTTTTTTTGAGATGTGGAACCATGAAATTAGTTAGAATGGATAATTGCACATTAGTGTGCAGTTGAGGATCAAAACTGTTATGTTTGATGTGACATTTAAAGGGATAGTTGAAAAATTAAAATTCTGTCATTACTTATTCACCCTCATGTCGTTCCAAACCCGTAATACCTTCATTCATCTTCGGAACACAAATGAAGATATTTTTGATGAAATCCGAGAGGTTTCTGAACCAGCCATAGGCAGCAAAGTCATTGCAACTTTCAAGGCTCAGAAAAGTATGTGAATACATCTTAAAATAGTCCATGTGACTACAGTAGTTCAACCTTAAGGTTATGAAGCGACAGGAATACGCAAAAAAACAAAAACAATTTCTTCTCTTCTGTGTCAGTATCCTACGCTGATCACGTAGTAAACCCAGTGCAGCGCTTCTGGGTTGTACGTCAGGACTGCCGGCTCACTATTGGTCGACGCTGGTCATGTGAGCACCACGACACGTGTGTGATGCTGACGCAGGAGCTGGCCAATGGTGAGCCGGCGTTCTGACGTAGAACCCGGAAGCGCTGCACTGTGTTCACTACGTGATCAGCGCAAGAGACTGACACGGACGAGAGGAAATTGTTAAAATAAAGTGGCTCACAAAAAGTATTGTTCTTTACTAGCTTTATGGGGCTTGAAAGTTGCAATGACTTTGCTGCCTATGGCTGGTTCAGAAACCTCTCGGATTTCATCAAAAATATCATTTGTGTTCTGAAGATGAACGAATGTCTTGCGGGTTTGGAACGACAAGAGGGTGGGTAATTAACGATAGAAATGCCATTTTTGGGTGAACTAACACTTTAATCTTGCTTACCCTTGAATCCCGAATGTCTTTATTATCTTCACTTGTACATGGAGTGTCCTTGAAATTGAAAAACACTTAAGAGCAGAGACGGAGAAAAAATGGAAAAAAAGAGAATGAAAGACAGACAGATGTGCACAAACATGTTTTGCTTCAAGGCATTTTCTCCTTAGATGGAAGGGACGAAACTGAGAAGAACAACTGCATATTCCCAGGACTGTCAGTGCGGGTGTTTTATGTTGTGTGTGTGTGTGTGTGTGTGTGTCTAATGATGGGCACCTAGAAAATTTTGATTTGTGTGTTGTAAGAGAAGAAGCATTTGTAGGTGCAGGAGTTTCTGAGGTCGGATTCTCATCACTGCAGGAACCTTTTACCTGAGGAGACAGACGTGTGTTTGGTCTAGCTAAATGAGAATGAGTATGTCTGGGTGTGAAACAGAGCAGATAAAATAACAGACAGGGACAAAGTGCAGAAGACAGATGGAGAGATGAAAAAAAAAGAGACAGATGCACCTTCAAGAGACAGACTCAGTTCTGAAGACTACATTCTAATTATTTTACAAGAAAAGCTTTTATAAGAAACAAGTTACATAATTGCCATTCTATTAATGGGTTACATTTTCTCTTTTATTAGAGCTTTTTAAACCCTGGAAATAAGCATGCATTTAACATAGGGGTGTCCTGACCAATCAATTTCCTGGGTGATCAATTTCCAAAAGAAGATTTTTTATTCCTCCTTTTAGCATGGGTGTGTTCACTTATGCTAAGCACTGTATAGGCCTACAGTATCTGTCAAAAGTTTGAAAACATATTTAAAAAAAAAATGTTTTTGAAAGAAGTCTCTTATGCAAACCAAGGCTGAAATTTACTAAATCAAAAAAACAGTAAAACAGTAATATTGAACTGATATTACAATTTAAAATAATTGTTTTTGCTGCTTAACATTTTTTTTGTGGAAACAATGATACCAAAAAAATTGTGGTAAGATTTAAAAAAGAGAGAGAAATACTTGACAAAAACATTTTTCATCAACGATGCAATAACTTGATCAAAAGTGACAGTGAATACATTTATAATGTTACAAAATAAATAAATAACTTTAATAAATGCACATAACAGCTGTTCTTTGAACTTCCTATTCATCAAAGAATCCTGAAAAAAAGGATCACCATTTCCACAAAAATTGTAAAGCAGCACAACTGTTTTAAAGATTGATAATAATAATAAGAAATGTTACCTGGGGCGCAAATCTGCATATTAAAATAATTTCTGACGGATCATGTGACACTGAAGACTGGTGTAATGATATTCAGTTTTGCCATCACAGAAATAAATTACATTTTAAAATATATTAAAATAGAAAACAGTTCTTTAATATTTCACAATATTACTATTTTTACTGTATTTTTTGATGAAATAAATGCAGCATTGGTGAGCATAAGAGACTGCTTTCAAAAACATTAAAAAAAATTATATTTCCAAACTTTTGACAACACTGAAAAAAACAAACTTGGTGTAGAAACAATTTCCACTAAAAAATTGCTTATAAATTTCACAATTACAAAGAAATGGCAAGTAACACATTGAATGGAACGTGGCATTTTTAAGTACATAGATTTTCTCCGTTAATCATTGTTGTATTTACAACTTCAGTGTATTTCAGGCTTGTTTATAATTAAAAGTCCTGGCATTATGCATAATGTTTTTTCCTTGGTATTTAGGTTTCACAATCTGTATTTACCATTTAATTCAATGTAAACTCTTATAGCTATTGTCTGGACTGCCCCATACTTTTAGTATTCTAATAAATTAAATGATTTTGCTTGAAAATGTCTCCTTGCAACCCCGTAACACATTATTTGATACAGTTCTATTGCACCCCAAGTCTTTTTTATGTGTTCCTAAATAAGGAGCATGTGCTCATTGGCAAAAAAGTGCACTGACGCATGAGTCAGAGCAAACTCATTCACACAATCATTCTGACATCCCGAGAATCATGTCATGCCGATTTCGAGGCTCTCAAGGCAACCTGCAGACGATAAAAATCACAGCGAGAGTGTTAAAATAAGAATGTTTTATTAAGTTTCATTCTGGCAATTGTCATTCATGATTCGTTTACATGTTTGTAATCATTCTAAGGTAAACACGATTGGTACTGTTGTTGCCAACAATGATAAATGCTTTCGTTCTCACCCGTCTCATTCTCTCCAGCCAAAACTCTCACACAAGCTTGAGTATTTAAAACCTACAAATGTGTATCTAAATGCATATGAAAATGCCAAAATGCCACACTTTCACAACCCCCTGTAAAGTGCACACTCATAAGACACATACGCAGACACATTTACATAGACATTCACTCTTGACGTTGTCTGCAGCGTTCTGAGGAATGATTTATTCCATTACTGCACTGAAGCCACGCCCTCTCAATAAGCCCCTCCCCAAATGCCCTCCCAGCCCCGCCCACCAATATAGACTACAACAATCTCACACTGTCCTATTATAACGACTCTCCTTATAAAGATAATGTACCTATTTCAACCGAGCGCAATGGATGAGATTCATTAGATATGTCTTTCAGTAACTAAGACTCAATTTGCTGGCACATGAACAGAAATAAAGTCCATGAAACGAACATAAATAAACAAAAAATAATTTGGCATTAGCAAAGATGAGGAAGGATCCCTCAAGAAAGCAGACACAACTCACAAAGTTCCCAAAAAAGGATCAAATGATCAATAAATAACTCAATAAATTAAGTAAACAAACTAACATACTCAAAGAGCAGTTAAATATGTATCATACGGTAAAAACTAAATCTGCATCGCAATTCTTCGATATAAAACAGCGAATTGCAGTTTACGACTCGACCGCTCTTACAAAAATGGCCACTATGCTAATCAGTGGCACTGGCCAATCCAGTGCCTTTCCATGATGACACGTACATACTATAGGAAATAAACGTTTATCTATCCATCTACCGTTAGTTCGGTCCACCTCGATTCTCTTTCATTACGTGCGCTGCTATGATGTCCAAACTATTTCGGTCACACAATGTACAAAAGTGATGGTCTCTGACCGATCTCTAGTTTCCAAGTTCAGCAATGGAACTGGGAAACTAGAAGGAAAGGGTTCCCATTACAGCTCACAGACAAGTCTCCAGCCTGGGAACTAGCAGAAACAGTAGCAATGCCTCTCTGTGATCGATTCATAAGCCTAACACCTGAACTTAGTGACGGGCAAATGAGTTTTATTGATCTCTGCTGCAGAACTATCAATGACTGACACATATTGCAGTCCGACAGGTATGGGATGTGACAGAATGTTAAGACAGGATCAAAGGTCTCCAGCACTCCTCGAGTCTCTCAGCCGAGATCCACTGACCACTATGACGCTTGTCATATCCATTTGAGCTCGTGTCAATCTTAGTCCGTCTCAAGATTTGCCCCAATCTAGGTAGCTTCATTAGAGACGAGACCGGACGTAGGGTAGAGAGACCTCACCGTCTAACCAGATTTGTTTTCCTCCGCGAGTACGTTTCGGGAGAGTGGACGTTCCATCGCAAAGGCAAAATCTGAAATTGATGCACGTCATTCCTTATTCCAAAATTGTGGAGACGAAGGCCACTGTTTGGGTGCGGTGGATCTACAATTAGCTCCAGTGTTTAGGGCTCAACTATTGGTTAATCTGTTCTGATTGGATAAACTCCCGCACAGGTTGAACGAAAGGCGAGCGCTCGGAGCTGCTGGCTCAGAAATGTCAGAGAGAGAGAGAGAGAGAGACGGTTGCTAAGACACGAGGAGAGCAGCGAGGAGAAGCGTCGCCACAGTGATTAACAGCCGGTCTCCAGACGGACTGCTGCCGCTGACGCTCTTCTCCAGTTTGGGGATCTCAGGGTTAAACTCATCTGAGAGAGAGAGAGAGAGAGAGAGAGAAGAAAGAAGGAAGGAAAGAAAGAAAGTTAGTGAGCACGTAAAGACTTTATACCGATAATAAGCCTACAAAACTATGTACGCCGCCTCAGAGTAAAGCATTTAAACCTATACATATCATTTTTCTGAAAGAAATGAATACTTTTATTCAGCAAGGATGCATTAAATTGATTGAAAGTGTAGGCAAGGACATTTATAATGTTACAAAAGATTCTATTTCAAATAAACGCTGTTTTTTGAACTTTCAATTAAAGTCCCTGTAAAGGCAATTTAAAAAAAAATTCGAAACACATAATAAATGTTAGAAATGTATTGCTAAAATACATTACAAAGACTGTGAACTGTGAAGTACTGAATTGTGGAGTTAGACCGTAAAACAGTTTTTTCACCATTGATATTCCATTGATATTTTTTGGGCGGGGCTAAAAGGGTTCTCGATGACGCACTGGAGTGCCTGAGCTCCTGGCCCCGCCCCTACCTGATGACGCACTGGAGCCCCTGAGGCTGGTCGCTCCCCTAACAATATAAATAGAGCACATTCGCATCAGTTTGCCGCTCAATCGCGAGTTACTGTCAGTATTATTAATTACTACAGCTTACAGTTAGCTAGTTAGCTATGTCTTCGTCACGGAAATGCGTACTACCTGGATGTGATCACGTACAAAACAGATCGGTGTCCTTATTTAAATTTCCTAAATACGATCACATCAAGAAGAGGTGGATTAATTTTGTGAAGAGCCACCTTGATGGAGAGCTGAGGATCACCACCAAAACCCGCCTCTGTAGTGATCATTTTACACGGGATAGTTTTATAAACTTTCGTAGGAGACAACTGGGATTCACTAATAATCCGCTGTTACTGGTGAATGGGGCCGAAACGACTATCTCCCGCCTCGGCCTTCATCCTCCCGTCGCGCCGACAACTGGTGACATCATCGGCAGTGCGTGCCCACCAATGAGTGTAAGTTGCCTTGTGCGCTTATGTTATAATTAACCTAATAAACTGCTAGGAGCATCCATTCCGGCTGTAGCGGGTGACAGTTGATTGTGGCGACGGCAGCTTTACCACAAGTGGGCGTGGTTTCAGCACAGCCAGCGGACACGCCCCCAGCGTTTGAGAGCAGAGACTACTGCTCATTTTTTCAAGATTTTGATAGCTTATTTTATGTACTTGCCGGATTTTTTTATCATTCAAATTTGTCTGGGTGTCTAATAACACATTTTTCTGTGATATGACAAACTCAGAACACATACTTCATTTTGACTTTACAGGGACTTTAAGTACTGAAAAAAATGCATCACAGTTTCCACAACAATATTGTTAATACTTTACAATAAGGTTCATTAGTTAACATTAGTTAATGTATTAACTAACATGAACTAACCATGAGCAAGCTGTTCATTGTTTCTTCATGTTAGTTCACAGTGCATTAACTAATGTTAACAAGATTTTAATTATTATTTTAAGTATTAGTAAATGTTGAAATTAACATAAAAAAATATTAATAAATGCTGTATACATGCAGTTCATTATTAGTTCATGTTAACTAACAAACTTTATTATAAATTGTAACCAAAATATTAAGCATCACAACTTTTTTCAACATTGATCATAATAAGAAATGTTTCTTGAGCACCAGGTCAGCATATGGCATCTAATGGCTGCCAAGTTATTTAAAATTGTAATAATATTACTGTTCTTGCTGTATTTTTAATGTATTATATTAGGTGAGCATAAAAAACTTCTTTCAAAAACATTAAAAAAGGTATAATGAGATTTTATAGGTTTTAATATGATTTATTTCTTATTTTAAATTTTATCTCACAATTGCTTGTTTTATGTTTTACTCTAAGGCGCAAACCAATTCCAGATCTATTCTCTAATCGAAACGTGAATATTAGATAGCTGGATTTCCAACATTCCGTCCTGTTTGGGGAACATTTTGTGATATTAAGAAAACAATCTCTCAGTTAACTGTCAATCTCTCACTGAGTAATAGCTAACTTTAGCTCTTTATTTCCATCATGTTAGCTGCTCTTATCAGCAGGGTATTCAAGAGAGGGATAGGAAATGATTGGAAACAGAGAGGGAATGAGATCGGAACATCTCTTTAGGCTGGAATCAAACCTGCATCCATTACATGAGCACCATGGCTCAATGTCAGGAACGCAAGCACTAACCATTAAGCCACCGCAACCAAAAGCTACACGTCAAAGTTAGACATTGACGGTAAATTATCACCTACTAAACATCATAGAATGATAAAGGATACAGGGGAATAATGCTTCCTCTTTGAGTAATGTAATCACCTGCAGCAACTGTAATGGTTTCCCCACAGCCTTCTCTAAATATTAGGAAGATAAAACTCATCCATTCATTTTCTGTATTATTACTGGCCCTAAAGCTCAACATAACATTCTATAAGGGTTATTGATGATGAAAATAATCACTTAGAAATAGAGAAAGGCAGAGAAAAGGAGAAATAAAGGCAGGAGAGATAGCGAGAGAGAAACCTTATCTATTAAAACAGGAGATGTGATTGTAGAGAAAAGACTTGGAAGGATATCAGACAGAAAAAAAAACAAAGAATATGTGACATTTCTTATCAGCAGCCGCCACGTTGTATGTTGATAAAGGACGCTCGGGCAGTTAGAGGTTAAACACACTGCTGTGATAGCAGACATAGTGAGTGAAGACACACAGCTCAATGGACGTATCGGCGGAGACGTGTCAACACATCATGGAAATGTCTGGAATTTATTATTGTTGACGCACATAGGCGAAATTCCAACTGGACTGGTTTTGCTGTGCTCTTCTTCGTGCGACAAAGTAGGATGTGCTCCTGGATCAGCATCTTTAGAAGGGCCTGGAACAACAGTCCTGTCAAACAAATATAGTCTTATACCCTAGTGGTTCTCAACTGGTTTTGCTTAAGGTTCCGGATTTGATGTTGAACATCAACCGCCGAACCAGAATTGTTCTACATCCAAAACAATGCTGTTTATAGCCGAGCTGCGATTGCAAAACAGATTGTTCTTTTCTTAGGGGTAAAAAGAAGTTCGAAATATCTACTCTGCTGAGAGCTGTGTTTAGATGAATATGTAAATATTTGCTGTGCAAAATAATGACAGCGGTGAGAAAACAGCGGTAAAGAAAGCATCTGATCATAGCGATGTGGATATGTTCCCACGCTGCACTCCAGTCAAGTTATGTCACGTCACGTTTATTTATAGCACTTTGTACAATATACTGTATTGCTTTAAAGCAAGCAGCTTTTCAGTATTAAACTTGAAAATGTGTCAGTATAGCTTTCAATCCAGAATTACAACGTCAGTTTCCACTATAAAGCAGCTCTCCAGTGTGTTCATGTTTTCATTCGTGACGTCTGACCTCGACGGACGGAAGAGAAGAAATGAACCGGAGAAGATTCTCAGTGTCAAAGAAGGCGGAGCCTCCGCGCACACCTACCTATTACATCATCACCGCGGACCAATGGTAGGCCAAAGGATGATGTCACACCAGGTCAGGTCTTCACTGTGATAACCCTGATCCAGACGTTTTTTTTTTTAAATTTACAGTAAAAAAACGGCAGCTAGAAATTTACCATACATAATAAATAAATTGACCTTAAATTTACAGTAGGAACATGTATATTTCATTAACTGAAATAATTTGAATATACCAACATTTTTGCAATGAATGCAACAAACATTAATTTAACAAGATAAGATGTAACATAATACAAAATGTACATAAGTGAAAAAACTAAGAAGAAACAGTTATTTTAATAGCCTATCAGTCAAATAAAGAGAAAAAAGCACAAAAAAGGACTTTAGCTTTTAGCTGTTTCACCTTTTTTGACTGAAACTAGTGTATAAATTCTTTCAGTGGGACCTGGCAAGCTCAAATAAGAAACATCAGGTCTCCTGGGTTTTTGGAAGTCTTTTCAGAATAGTGATTATGCAGTGCTTTTTTGACATCCGTAACCCTATCTTTTCATATCGGTTTCATCGAGTATAATCCCTGACTGGAACACACTATGTCTATATGATGTGTGCTATCCACAGACTTAAGCAGATTTTTTTTTTAATGCAGCATCAGCACAAATGATGGTATTATGGAGCTGTTGACAGGAAACAAAGTAAAACTTAGTCCTCGAGACTGCAGCACAAGTTTCCCCCCCCCCTTAAAATAGGGTGGTTGACCTGTCAGCAATGTGTTTTTTATTAGATATGGTTTGGGAAAGCTAACAAGATGTTGACAGTTTTAGAAGTAGGAAGATCTGCATACAGAGGGTAATTTGGTTCATATGGTGTGTGTGTGTCATAAATTAGTTTCCATTTTAATGCCGTGTGCATTAACACGCATGCACCCCCCCCCCACACACACACACAGACAGAGAGAGAGAGAGAGAGAGATGTTTAGAGTGCTTTTGGATGCCTACGGTGGTGTAAAGTGCCAGCTATTTGTTTAGTTATGTGCTTTAGCAAGGGCATGTGGGCGTTGAGCCAAGCTGTGCATCCTGCAGTGTGTCCCGATGATCCTTCCTGTGATCCTGATGTGAACTTGGGTTTCTGAGTATTCGCTGGACATACATTTCAGATGTGCAGTCATAATGCGTCTCACTGCACATTCACAGCTCGATTTCTCAGAATGAAAACAGTAGTTAAGTGAGGGCGAGAGAGCAAAAATAGAGAGACTGAATAAATGCATTAATTTGTTTATTATTGGCCATCCCCTGGTCACTGGACATTATGGTCACCCAGGCTTTTAAGAGGAATTTCAGATGCTCATGAGGTAGATTAAATGCATAATAGCCATATTTGTGAGACCGGATGAACATTTGTGTTACACATTTTTAAAGCCAATGTGTGTACAAGGCTTCACGCTTGTGTGTGTTCACTCACCGATGTCATGCAGTTTGGGTCTGACAGTGTAGTCAGGGGGACTCTGGTTCGAGTCATCATCTGCATTAGAGACTGTAGCAAAGAAAAACATGATCTCAGTGCATACAGTTGCCCAAAACACTATCTGATCACTTAAAGGGGTCATGACATGGATTTTTTTAAATGTTCCTTGAGGTTCACTTATAATGCTAATAAAGTTTTTTGCACAAAAACCAAAACAAATGTATATGCGCAGCGCAAAAAAATTTAATGATCTGTTTTTAGTGGGCAGCTCCTTTAAGGCTAGTCAGTAAACGACCACTTTTATTGTTTCGCAATTCAGAACACCTTAAATGAACCATCCACTGGACGAGTCAAAGCGAATGTTCTTCATTCTTCCATTTGTCCTGTTGTCGACAGACTCAAGTCCATGGAATATGTCAGAAACTGAACTCACATCTTTTATACTGTATTCAGTGTAGACAGCATCAGTGATTATAATGGATCTCTATTTGCTTTTGACGCGACGCTCACATCCAGTGTAGACAAGTGTCAGCCATTAAACGACTGGATGCTAGTGGGCGGGGCCTATGGTGAGATGATGTAAAACTATTCGTTGATGTCTTGCTCTGGAGGCATAGGAGTCATATGCAAATGTATTTGCCCATGTGACGTCACAGATCCCACAACATCAAAACAAGCCATTTCTGGAACCTGAATAAATGCTTTGTTTATAATGAGGAGGACGTTTTAAGCTATGAAACTTGCAGGATGTTTTAATGGTACAAATACCTCTTATATGTCAAAACATCGAGACAAATTTGATTTCTCATATCATGACCCCTTTAAGGCATACTGTATTTTTCCACTTTCATTCTCTGCAATTTGTCAATATAGTCTTTTTATAAAAAAATAATGCTGCTAGGCCATAGCATATTTTTTTCAGCAAAATGCATTTATATGTACCTTAATATAGAGTCTACATTTTAAAATGTAATTCCTATTGTCACTTCCTATACACATCACTTGCTCAACCTTTTTTTTTTTTAGATACATTTTAGGTACATTATATGCAAACACAAAGCCATTTCAACAAATACACTCACATGTAATATAACTGAAAAATATTAGAGATTAATGCAGCGCGGGGTTAAACTTGTGTTCAAGAGCTGCATGAGTTATGCTCCACACATGCTCTGATCAAAAAGGCCACAGAACGTGTTCGAGCATTAAGTTCTGAAAATAGTTTGCTCACACACAAACACACATTAAAACCAGCATCATGACCCCCCCTTGCGGTTTACGTGCTTTTTTGTTTCTATGTGTGTGTGATGATGCTCACCTGTAGAACAGCAGACAAACACCCGCAGTCTTAAACAGTTGTGTCCGTGGTGATGGATAGGTGTAGCTGCAACAACACATGACATCACAAACATTAACCTACTGCCACCTACTGGACAATGACATGCACTGACACCACTTCTAGGTTCAGAATACTCCTGTAGCTTACTAAATGAACACAATGCAGTATACACAGTATTCTGAATACTTTTCAATTAGAAGTGAAACAGTAAATAGTAAAATAGCAAGTATTATTATGCAATAATAAACATTTCAACTAGTAGAATTCTACGTCGCAGTCACATGACCTCTTCGTGTAATATGTGATTGACGCCAGTCATCATTTTTGAAAATAAATGCAATATTTTTGCCTTTTTATTTATTTATTTTGTAAAAACCTCATCAGCCCAATCAAATATTGAGTCAAAATATTAATGTTAAAAATACGTTTATCTGGTTCATTAGTCACATTAGGCACACTGCATTGTGGGATTCTATAAGTTTTTATGCACAGTTATAGTAGGAAGTAACAAATGTAGCACCAGGACAAACTAGTATTCTATGCATACTAAAAATCAGCATACTGTGCACAGTATCTATACAAAATACACATATACTGAAATGTAATGAGGTCATGTGACATGTGAAGATTTTGTCCAAAGCGTCTCGTCACTGCTAAATGAATAAATGTAAATATTTAAATGTACCAAACAAAGTAGAACACAACAGATTTAAACATCTACCACTGCATTTTTACCTAATTAAAAGCTAAAACATTATGTTACGACTCCATTCCTCGCATATCTATACTGGTTTTAACCTGTTACCCAAATCCTCCTCTTTAAAGTCCACTTATAATGTTAGCCAATTTCTTGCAGCAAAAACTGCTTCAATTCAGTTTCTCATGACCATTTTCTGCCCTTACTCTGAACATTAAGTTCAACAGGCTGTTTTTGCTACTGTACCTTTAAGTCTTCCATATGTAAATGATCACAGAATACTTCACATGAAGATCTGAAATGAGCAGCAACCTGGTGAGAGCGCTTTAGAGTGTGTCTACTACGTAGTACATTAAACTCTTTATTTCAAAAGATTAATCCACAGCAAATGTTATGGCCATTTTAAGGTATCTAAGCCAAAGCTCCTTCTGCTGAGAACAAACACTAAATAAATAACACTGATCAAAACAGATACGGTGTACGTTTATTAAATCATCCATTTCCACAAGCTGCAGATACCATCTTAGATTGATGAATTGGCTCTAAACGAACTCCCCTGGGCTAAGACAAAGATAACGCTTCTTGTTTTCAGGTTGATAAACATATGGGCCACATTATCATACAAATGTTTGAGTGTGATATCATTTTTCAATACCGAATGGTTGTCATACAATCGCTAATAACCTGCCCACAGACCTCACTAATGAAGACGACTGTTAGCATTAGCTGAGACATGCATCAGAAAATCACCATTAGCAATGCTCTATTAACACTCGGTTTATAGCCTGCATTTGAAAGTTTTCGATCAAAAAACGGGTGCGCTCTAATTGGTAGTGACTGACCCAAATGCCAGAAAGACTGATGACCGGCGGCCTCCCGTAACGTCCGTTTCCCGATAACAAGCTCCTTTGCATGGCGAAGCTGTCACCATTTCACCAACAAGGCAGTTTTGAGAGCAAATGGACTGCTGGGAGAGATGCATTTGAGCTTGTCCTTAGGAGCTTTCTTTTATTCTCAGTTGTGATAAAAAAAAAAAAAAAATGAATGAAACATTGTTGTGTTTGAAATAACTTGCTGCCTTTCTTCAAACTACTGCTTCGTAACAACAAAGCCCTTTAAAGACGATCACTGGGGTCGCAAATTGTTTTCTTAATGAGTTTCTCTTGTGTTAACTGCATCTGTATGACTTATCTGTAACCCTGCACATAATGGTGCTCACGCAGAAAGTTCTCACTTCTTTTATTCCCAACTCAAAAAACTCCCCGACAGGAAGGGCTCTGATTGGCTCAGAGGTACAATCGCCACATCATGAAAGGGAGGATCCTGCCAAGGCAATGTCCCCTTGAACAAAGCACTAAACCTCCATCTGCTCCCCAGTATGCCTTTCCCTAATAACCTTTTCTGTCAGTTGAGTTTAGATGAAGTATGCCTACTGCAAACTGGAACTTGCTAGCAAAAGAACACTTGAATGGATTAATAAGTTCTATGGACAGCGTCTGGGGCGTACTGTCAATAACCACATGAAATAATTTCAACGTGCCATTAGCTTTCCATCTACATACAGTATTCCAATGCAAATATTGGGATCCTGCATAAAAATTACAAATAATAATTTCCAGAATGTGCACATACATCGTATACACTCGCTTGAGATGTAAAAAACGTTTATTTAGTAGGTCGACAATGCGAGACTACGACACATTTACAGAATAAATTCCTGGATTGATGTCCAAAACAAAAATTGGACTTTGATTCAAATCATGTGACTAAACAATTCACTCAGATTGGCAAGTATCACCTTTCAGAGTTGTCTGGCACGCTGTTGTTCAATACATAAAGCATTGAAAGGTCCGGCCTCTATATTTCCTTCCCAGGGGATGTCCAGACAATACTTTTTTGGAACAATTTACAATTTGGAACACCATTGGGGCAGCCATAGTACTTTGTAAAAGAAAAACACCTAAACACTCAAAATAGTGATCAAAGATGACGTCAATGTTTACCAAAAAAAGTTAATATTTCTCCCAACTGGATATGAATATAAAAAGATAAGATCAGATGTTTTATCAGGCTATTTTTATTTTGTATATTTTTTTATATATACATTTAGACACCTTTGTGTATGGCACATAGAAGGCATTGGGACTAAGAAAGCATACTGGGAGTGCAGGGTTTACCTCTAGTAACACACTACTAAAATCAAACAACGCACATAATCTAATAATCAAAACTCTCATCATGAGGACAAAAAGTTAACTAGTAAGTTTTTTGTCTTCCCTTGCTATCTCCAAATATTTTTTTTTCCAAATTACAACATTGTTTATTATGAAATGCTCTTATATGCTGATTAATAATGCTAACTGCATGCCATGCATGCATTAACTTTCTGGATTAGATAAACGGTCGGAGTCATCTGTATGACAGATACAAATAATTGTATTTTCTGCATTCTCGTTTTCTGCAGCGTTTTAGGAAAAGGATCTATTTTCCAGCTCATTGTGTTTCTGCTACAGTTGTCAAAATAACCGCGTCATCTGCATCTCTTAATGTGGCGCTTTACGTCTCCAGTGAGGAGAAAGAAGCAACCCGTACGGAGCGGAAAGGGCTTGAATGAAGCACGTTTGGCTCTAGATACAGATATTAGAGGATGTAGCGCCGAATTATCATTAGCGTAAATAAACCTGAGCGCTTGTGCTGTGAACTGCACCGTTGTTTTGACTCGCTGCTCATTTTAAACTGTAGAAACGGTAAAATGGCGCAATTATGTCCCGCGGTCCAGATGGAACCAAGCTGGGGTCCGGAACCAGAACGCCGTCCGCCATCCGAATAACACTGACATAAAGCATCTGCAGCAGATTGCTAGCAAAAATGTAACGCTTCAAAGCGTCTTTTATTGTATTTAATAAAAGTGGCTTCCCCATTGGCTCCAACTTCCATTTAGACCCCAATTTCCCCGACAGTAACAATTTTGTTCTCTTGAAGACATGGAATTGAAATGCTTTAAATTGTTTACTTGCATATATTTTGTTAAATATTTTACTCATTTGCATAAATTACATTTGTACCGATATTATTCATTGAGCTTAATTTGTTTTTAAAGGTTCACTCAGGCATTTTTTTTTAAATGATTAAGATAAAGCAATTAGTATTTGGTTGGTCTTGTGATCTGGTTATGTGAACATTACCAGCCCCAATGTTCCATGTAAAATATAACAGCTTTTATTAGGCAATTGGTATGAGTATATATGATTTAAAATACTAAATTACTATTCATTTTTTTAATAACCTTTACATAGTGCACATTTAAATAAAACCTAGCAACTAAACAAACTGTAACAAACAAAAATGTCATTAAGAAAACCTCATGATGGTGATTTTTAAGTGTTTTATCAAATACTCACATATATAGTAGTACTCATGACCAACGTTGAATTCATAGCCTAGTGAGAAGGCGCTGTAACGCTGGAATTTCTCAGAGAACTTAATTGGCGCGTGGGGGGCGTGCGGCCGGTTGCACTCCCAGCGCTTGAAGCCCATCTGTGGGTCGCAGGTGCGGTAACCTCGGTAACTGACCATGTAGAGAACGTACTGCTCGGCCACCCCGCGCTCTAGCGCCCCCCGCTGGCTCTGGTTGTAGTGTGGACAGTAGATGTCCAGGTAGTCGTTCACGGTGACCTGTACGGTGTAGCCCTCACTCCGCAAGCTAAAAGAAAGAGAGAGGAAGGACAAAAAAAAAAAGAGAAAGACAAAAACATTATTATAAGATTACAGTGTTTTTGCTATTCGAATGGCATCAGTCATATATACTTTGTATTTTAGATAGAAAAAAGGAAGAGAAGGGGAAGATTTATCTCATTGACCTTTCTAAAACGTGTAAGTCCTGCTTGAATGAAAAAGCAGTTATATTGCAATGCTTTGCCACAGCACATTAAACCGGATCATTTTTCATGCTTAATGTGTGCGAGGCCCTGATCAAACAACAGGGGGCAGTGTTTCATTTCACAGCCGCCCTTCTCATTTGACTCTCTTTGTCCCGCACAAGCTCACACAGAAAAATAAAATAAAAAAATAACATGCTAATACACACACTTGCGCGCTTCTAGGTCAGGTCCCGCAGGAGATTATTATTCAATTACAAAACGAGGATCAGAAATGTCACCCACTCCTTCTCCGTTCCTCTTCCGCTACTCCGCTAACCCCTTTCTCCTCGGTTTCCGTGTCTTTCTTTACAAATCCTTTTTCTTTTTTTACACACTTTCAGTACTACAACATGCGGTGCTGTTTTTTTTCTGCTTTCTAAAATGCGCATTATTCACGTGTCCTCTTTGTAGTTCCGCTCCTCCTCCTTTACTCACCGTTTCTGCAGTTTTCTTTCTCTTTTCCTACTGCTTTTCCCCCCTCTTTTTTAATCAGTGTCTTTCTTAGCCTTTTATCAATACACAACAGATGGCAATCACATCCTTGATTAGGGCTTTCTCTCTCTTTCTCTCTCTCCTGCTCACACACACGCAGACTGAATGAAAGATTTTTTTGTCATGCAGTGTGTTTTGGGGAGGGATGCTTCAAAGCTGCTATATTTAGGGAGAGGGTGCAGGCAAGGAGAGGAAGAGAGAAAGATAAAGGGAGAAGATAAAAGAGTAAGGAAAGATGAAATGAGTGCAGAAAAACAAAGGATGAGACGGGTACAGAGAGGCGTAGAATTGGGACGGCGATGTACCTGACACTCCTGAAGATGATGATGTTCTGTGTGTGTGTGTGTGTGTGGGGGGGAGGTGATGGGGGTCAGGTTTTACCTACATTGCAGGGACCAAATGTCCCCAAAAGGAGAGTAAAATCTAAAATGTCACATTGTGAGCACCAGCCAATAGCTCCCATGAGGAATATGGCTTAATAAACATACTAAAATCCTAGTATGCATCTCATAAGATTGGTTGACTGAATGTTCAGAGTGTGCAGAGCTGAAATTTAGGGTGTGTTGTAGATCCGTTCACTTGGCTCAGAGCAAAACAATTATAATAAATATAACTTAGTCCTGGTCCGCTTAGCATTCACATTGGCATTTTAACACCAAACCTAAAGATACCGAACCTAAAGGCATAGGGATATGTTCACAACCTGATTGGTCGGCTTTTATCATGTGAATTTCGCGAGGGAACTTACCGAACATCCAAAACAATGCTGTGTGCTGGGCTACATGGGCTCGTTGTATGTGTTTGTTGCCTACGTATAATGTTATTTTGATCAGCTGAGAACTCGTGAAGAGCTTATAAAATGTGTAAAGAAGTCAAAACAGCGGCAGGAATCCATCCGTCACACACACAAACAAAGATCTGCTGCGAGGAAGACACGGTTCTGATGCCTGTACCGAACTGTGATGGGCAACATCCCGTCTATGACGAGAAAAAAAACAGGTAAGCTTGAACATTCTGTCCTTTTTAGGGTCGCATCTTGTGACATCATGTCCCATTTACATGTCTTTGGTCCATGTCGCGTTCATATTTCAGTCGAACCACACCAGGGTTCGTTTGGAAGCGGACGAGACTCATCGTTTCAGTGGTCTCGGTCAGTTAGTTTGGTGTACACCAGGGTTCGGATGGCAGTGTTTACACTTAGTATTCAAATAAACCGCACTAACAGACCAATCGCACCAGGGTTCGTTTTATTCGAACCAAACACGCCAAGTGTTAAACAAAGAAGGAGCTCAAATATATGAGAGCTTTGATCTGCTGAACATTTTTGATCACTCCATAATTTCCTTACTTCATTTGTTATTTAGTATTGATGACTTAATTTTCATTCTAAAATGTGGTAAATTGTCATAATAAAGAATAAAAGTAGGTCTGCACACACTTTTGACTGATAGTAGAGATATTTACCTTGAGAATAAAACCTAAGGTAGCTAAATCTGAAGTTAAAAGTGCGAATTAGACCTCTCTCCAAAACTCCGCTCTCTACAGAAATGCCATCAAACTCAGACATATGAAAGGAAGAATGTGTTTCTGGTTGAGTAGTTTTCTGATTGGCTACAAATCTTGGGCATTTCCCTCAACTCTACCATTTGCAGAGTCTAGAACTCCTACAGAAACCAGTGTGAATTGTCAAGACACCTGCATATCAGATTTCTGTCAGTTAATAGGGACACTTATGTGTGGTGCATTTAAAAGATACATAAGTTGATTCATATAGTATTAAAAAGCTTTCTTTATGGGTATGGTTAGGGTTAATCTATTCTATTATAATTTACTTTATACAAAATAGCGTACATAATATATATAATATATATATACATACAAAATATGTGTATAGCATTTCCCCTTTTAGACTGAAATGAGGTTAAAGAAAAAAGTACACCCAAAAATGAAAGTAATTACTAAATTTACCTCCACGTCACATTTCAACCCTGTATTCAAAACCTGTATAGTGGTCATTTTTCTCGCTACAATTGGTCCCTCGGGGGACTGAATCTTTCAAAAAGGCACCCTAAAACAACCATAAAAATGGTCCATACGACTCAACCAGTGAGATGTTAACGGCTGTGAGCGGATGAGTAAGTTCTGAGTGAGAATTCACGATCCAGATCAAACAATTCATTGAAAAGAATGAATTAGAGTCACCACTTCTCTCAAAACCTCACATGAACACTTACATGAGTGCTAAGATTTCAATCTGTTCCTCCTCACACAAAGCTATCATATGACTTACTACTTTTGCATCCATTTTAAAGCTTGGAAGCTTCATTTCCCTGTAATTACATGAAGAGCGACCTCAAAATTTCTTTTCTTGCACGGAAGAAAAAGAAGTCTTCTAAATAGGTTTGGAATGATGAGGGTAAGCAGATGACAGAATTACATTTTTTTGGGTGAACTATCCCTTGAGAAGTGTGTGAGATTCTGCAGTCCCCACAACTAAAATAACCCAATGTGTATATGTGTCTTCCTGATCAAGAACAATAAGTTACAGTATCATTGTGTCCCACATCAGTGTGCGTTTATGCTCTTCAGTGTACATGCAGCTGAAGTGTTACGCAACTATATGTCTGCCCCATGACACCCACAGACAAGAGAAAGAGAGAGAGAGATGGAGCGCTCCCCAGGGGTGTGCGCATGTATTGAAGTGTGAAAACGGAGTAATGGTTTTCCCTCTTCCTCTCTTTTCTCACTTTCCCATTCTGCTGTCTCATCATCACTCTCTTTTCAGGCAGGAAAACCTTGTTAGTTAGAAGGCAAAGCGGAAGGGAGGGAGCGAGAGAGAGAGAAAGCTGGTAGATGAGGAATAAAAGTGATAGATAGAAGCAACGTATCCAGCTAATAATCGTCTGAGGATACAATAAACAGCCGTCAGCATAAAATGCTTCAGGGCCAGAGTCTCCACACTAACTGCTAAAGAAAAACTTCAATTTACAGTTTATCCATCGAGACACATTACAGATACATTCCAGTGGTATGACGGTCTTTTTTTTTTTTTGACTTCTTGTGGATTTCTTACATTTTTATTGATTTCTAAAAACTTGACTTTTCTAAAAACTAAAAAATTTAATAAAATGACTGGTCTTTGGCAGACTTTTGTCTTTTTTATTGAAAAGATAGTAGATTGACAAAAAAAAAAAACAACTTATTTTAGCTGGCTGAACTCAAAACTGTGTAATCTGCATTAGCATCATGGTTTAACGTATGCTTGTGCTAACGCAGCTGTCTACAGTATGTCAGCTAAATTACACTCCAATACACTTGCCAGACAAACAAGTAACACGTACTATTATATGCTATACAACTACCAATTACATACATGCTTCTTCCAGATGAATGATTAAGACCTCGCCACCCCTTAAAACGCATTCATCACCACTAACGATCTTTCAGCTCTATAAAAGTCCATAACATGCATCCCAAAATATTTCGTTTAGTCCACGCCAGGCTTCACTCATCATTATATGTTTTATCACACAACTGCAGCTCTGTGCACAGTTTGCTTCTGAGCTTTAAACATTGCAAAAATGGTATCTGACGCAGTCTTGGCTGGCTATTACTGTGATGGATTCCCTGTAAAAGGTTAAAGCTATAACACAGAAAATTCACTCCCGGGGGCAATCCGTGAATGATTCACATGGGTGGATAGAGAGACAGTGAGATAAAGAGAGAGACAGGAAGATTCTCAAAAATCTACTGTACATATTCTAAAGAATCCAAAAAAGACACTTACATCTTTAGTGGTAATAGTTGAAACTTGAGAACCTAAAACGCTTTGGGTATAAAGCCACATAATGTCCAAATTGGACTTTAACTGCACCTAAATGGGTTTCTAAGCATCAGCATTCACACAGCGATTTACAGCAACAAAGTGGACGTAAGTCATTCATTTTCAATGAGAGCTGGTAAATTGCGTGACAATGTTGCCAATTCAATGGGGTTGAGCAGTATTTAACTATATGCAAATAAGCAGTGTTGGGGAAAGTTACTTTTAAATGTAATGTGTTACAATACTGTGTTACTCCCTAAAAATAATTGCGATACTTAGTTACTTTTTATGGAAAGTAATGTGCTACATTACTTGTGCGTTACTTTTCTCACCTGGGCTAGGCTTATTTGTTTTTCTATTTCTTTTTTCTAACTTATATTTGTGGCTAATGTAAAGGCCTTTTCACACCGAAAAAGGCAAAGTACAAACTGAAAATGTAACTGATATTTTGTTGTAAATTTAAAAGTA